ATTTAAAAAAGACTAACTAATTTATTAAATTAAAAATTACAAATTTATAATATTAAAGGTAATAAAAATATGAGGATTGGATACAATTTTTTTTTTAAAGCATAAGAAATCCTTAAAAGTATAAAGAAATATTGAAAATTAATTCACAAAAAAAAAAATCATAAGATAGTTTAATTTCCTTGTTGATTTTTGTTATCTATATCTTGAGCTACGATGATCTCTTTTCCTCTCCTATTTTAATGGATTCAAAAGTACCCCTACGTTCATGTATATCAAATTACATAATCCAAAATGTACACCAAATCTAACCTTCTGTTATTTGGACATAAAATTAGGAAGTATAGTTCATCTAACCTTCTATTATTTGGACATAAAATTAGGAAATATAGTTGAACTTGGGGAAGAGCTAACGCCCTTTAGATGAGGGCAGTACTTCCATCTCTCTTTTGGTTATTCGGATTTCTCTAAGGCATTATTAGGATTTCTCTAAGGCTTAAGGTCTACGGTTTATAAACATGATTAAAGGCCTACATAGATTGTTTAGTTTCATTTTTCCTATATGTTTTTCACCATTGTTTAATATTAGCAGATCCCTTCGCAATAAAAATATTTAAAATTAAGAGTAAAAGAGAGAATGTCTTAAAACACGATTTTAGGAAACCAAGGTTTTAGTAGGATTCATTTTAGAGAAATGATAAGTAGTTAAAAATTTATCATGATTTGTGATTAATCAATTTTTTTATTAATAGATTTCTTTGATCATTGAATATTGAATTAATATGCTACAAGTAATGACATACGTGACACACGTAATTCAATTAGTTTTCATTGAATTGTCCATTTTATATTTTTTTTATGAATGCATGATGTTAAGAAGTATGGCATCCAAAATTTGGGCTTTCGACGATGTATATAAAAAACTTGAGATACCAGAAACACTCTCAAGAAATGAGATATGAGAATAAAATATAAAAGGATACAATTTTTATGTGGCCTAGGCCTTTTGAAAAAAATAAATAATAATACATAAAGCCTCACGTCAAAACTTCATCGAGAAAACACTTTGGGTATAGAAAATCTCTATGATGGCTCTAAGTCAATCTCTACAACTGATTATAACATTTCTAGCTCAAAAAATAATACAGATCTTGTGGATCATTGAACACTTAAAATGAATAGTCTAGGTAGAGTGCAAACATACACTATTTTTACAACAATTAAAATGAATGGTCTAGGTAATGTGCAAACATACATTTTTCTAGCTTGAAATCCTATTTTTTTATTACAACCATAATGATCAAGATGAAATGATCGATTTGAATATTTTCTGACACCATAATCACATTTTCCTATGAGATTTGAGGTGAGGGCTGCAGCCGTATAAAACATTTTTCAATATAAAATATTGAGGACATTTTTTAAATTCTACAAAATACAAGTAATATTTACAAAACTTCTCTTTTTTTTTTTTGAGTGTGTATGGAAGAGAGAGAGAGATTTGACTAATGCGATTACACGAGTGAATCGATCTTACCTCAAAACCAAGGCGGATGAACTGGTAGTACTGAGCAATAATCTGACTCGAACCTGTGACAATTGCCACATTTTCTCATTCATTTCAAGGAATAATATATTTGTTCATATCATGAAAAAAATGTGAAAACTTTATATCAATAAAAAAGAAGAAGTTTAGCATTTGATCTAGCATCACAATAACCACAACAATCATCCCCCCCCTTTTTTTTTACGTAGTTGAAAAGAACAATCGTACTTTAAAATAATGTTAAGCATATGGCCAACTAGATCCATTACCAAGGTTGTCCCCTTACCCCACCACATAGAATTTACCCAAAATTGGCTCCATGCTTTCCCCTTCAGCATCAGATGAGAACCCAAACAATTATTTGAATTGAAACTTTTAGAAAATTAAAAGCTATTGTACACATGTACTAAACAGATTTAGAGGGCAGTGGCTTTGGAATTTCGGCTGGTGGAATCTCTTAATAATTTACCAATGCTATGTAGTTCGAAAAAAGATTAAAAAAAAAGTGCTTTGGTGCTCTCTCTCGATCACATTTTCAGAGAGAAAAATGCAGGGGGGAATGGGTTTGGAGCATTAGTGGTTAGGGAAGCTATTGCCTCAATATAATGTCCCACCCTCCATTCTCATTGTTAATATGTACAAAAAAAAAAAAAAAGAAGAGAGAGAGAGAGAGAGAAAAATTCAATGGAAATTGTTTAACCAACCAGGGGATTTCTAATGCTTCCCTTCTTGTCAAGATATTCTAAATTTTTCTACAGTCTTTGTATAAAATTTTGAAATTGTATATTATTAGAGTATTTATCTTTGGTACAAGTACGTCACACTCTACATTAGCCGTCGATAACTTGATGTATGGCATAAAGTCCAAAAAAATGATGTATGCCAAAAAGTTCAAAAACATTATTTTGAGCTTTGAGCCCAGTTAGCGATATACTTCTAGCCACCCATTTTCAAATTTAACGGTTAGATGTGATTGTTGCCTCTTTGTCTCAAAGGTAAATAGTCTTATCATAAGTTTTCCTTACAAGTTTTTATAGCCAAATGCACTTGCATGTTAATTTTTTAAACTAATGAAATCATTTTTTAACATTAAAAAAAAATAAAAAATGGTCACTTGCCTTTGGAGAAATTTAGGGTGAAGGTTGGTTGGTCTGCTCCTAAATAATTGATGTGAAATATTAGCTCTTCAGGCAAATCTTCCTTTGCTCTCCAAACAACCCAGCCTATACCTGGATAAACCAGTCCATACTTGTGTCCACTAACATTGATACTCTTCACTAAGGGTAGCCTAAAGTCCCATTCCAAGTCTGGATAGACAAAGGGTGCAATAAACCCACCACTGGCTGCATCCACATGGATGGGAGTATTCCACCTACATTAGATGCCAAAAGTGGGAGAAAAAAATAAAGTGTGAGGATAATATGCATAAAATATTGAAAGAAAATTTATCAAAATACACCTAACAAATGAACTATTTAACATTTTATTCGTACTTGATTTAATTTTAGAAACCCACCAAAATACGCATGATCATGACTATGAATACTGGAAAAGTGGTAAAATATAAGATAGTTAATAAATTTGGTGTCTTTTGATAAAGGGAAAAGTTTATATAGACCCAATGCTTTAAACAATCAAATTAGAGCCTACCTCAAAAATTTCACTAGAAGAGGTTGTATTGATGCTCAAATATCCTCAAATTGATCATCTCGATATTATGATGCATGGAAATGAGAAAAAAATCGATTTCAAGATTTGGAAATAGTATAGTTTGTAATGCATTTTTGGACCGTCAATTTTCAAGATTTTCTAGTTTTTATAGATCTATCACTCTACACTATTTTTGAAGCTTTAAACTTTATAAATAAAGATGAACATATATTTTAACGCTAACAAATATTTCATGTATTGAAACTATATTTCTCGACACTATTTGAAGGTAGTCTCTAATTTGATTGTTTAGAGCCTAGGCTCTATACAAATCGCACCCTTTGATAAATCCGGCAAAATGAATGAATTAGATGAGGAACACTTTTGTCATGGTTAAATATTCTTTTGGAGAAATATCATGCTTAAATATTTGCATCAAATTTGAGAGTTAAATAATGCAATGTTGTAAACATGGAACCTGATGGTTGTTAAGATTCCACCAAGAAGAGGTAATACACAAAGGGTACACGAAAAAATGATAGGTTTTTGGGGAAAAATAGTAACTTTCTTCCTCAAGTTTTTTATTTCTCTAATATTCTATTTATCTGGTGTTTTACTATTTAGGCCATGGGCGTGGTGGTTGGGCCATCGGTGTCACGTTTTAAATCCCATTAGTGACCTACCCCAAAAACAGATGGTAGGGGTGGTAATGGGTTGGGTTGGACCAGACTTGGACTGGACCAGAAAAATTATTAAGAAACCCAGATGTAGAGTCGGATCCGATCGAAAAATTAAAATATCTATATCTTCATATATATATATATATATTATAAATTGGAAATAAAAAATATAACGTGGGACCCGGACCTAGACCCAAATCAAATCCGACGTGGACCCCAATAGTGTTCGGATCCAAGATTTGGAACCAGACCCGACCGACTGGGTCTGGTTTTTGGATCCATACCCGGACATAGGCCAAGTCTACCCCTTAGGTCCTGGGTCGGGTGTGGGTCCATTGCCACCCCTAACAAATGCATGCGCAAGTTTTTAATATCATTTAGCATGGTGTTATTTTTCATATTTTATTGCTCGCCAAAAAAGATTTTGGGTCTCGATTGCATGTATAAATACTTTACACACTTACATATCAATAAGGTACCATATATGGTTGTTATTGTGGACCCAAATTGTACATGTGCACAAATTGTACATGTGCACAATGGTGAAAACAATTGAGGCATGTTTGATTCATAGAAGATGCAGTTTTAGAAACCTAGCTTTCGTGGAAATGGATATTTGAAGTTCCATGGGGCCCGTTGAAACAACCAGTATCACTTTTTAACCTTAAATGGAAGGCAAGTGGATACTGCACTTTAGTGTAAAACTTTGTGCTACAATATTGAAAGATTGAAGTTTCCTTAAATGAAATGCGCCCTTAGGGTATTAGTACGAACTTAAATAATTCTCAAATCATTTTTAATCCACCGTACAATGTACAAAAAGAAAAAGAAAAAGAAATGATTCAAAGTTCCCCAAAGGTGACATCCCACTTTCCATTAGTTAAAAATTAGCACTTTTTAAAATCTTAATTTTTTTTTCTCTTAATGTTTTTATACCTTACATTTATGGTGATCCCATGGGTCCAAATTGTATGTTTGTCTTGAAACTCTACCTTTGAATCACCAACTTAGTGAGAGAGGAGTTAGAGAGCTAACAATAACTGAAGAGGCCCGCTTTGACAATAGTGATTGAAAGGTAGAGTTCCAATCACCATCGTTAAACTAAGTTGGACCGTGGGTAGCTCGAGTTCATATGTGAGCATGCCTCCATATGAACTTTTTCTTAACAAATCTAGGACATATGCCAAATCAGATGACACAATCTTGGATTGGGTGTTAGATGGGATGCCAAAGGTTTGAAGACTTTGTGAAAATGTTAATAGTGGATTTGAACCGGTTAATCTAAGTTTTGGAGCTCTACTTTTGTCTCACCTATTTTAAAAATCTAGATCTCTCAATTTCATTCTATTTTCAAATTATAAAAGTTCTATCTTTTAAGACCTATGTATGTCCTTGTGTATCTCCCAATAATGGCAAGAGAAATGACCTTGTGAGACCCTCCTACACCCATGTATGTAGGACCCCGAATGATCACCATTAAATTTGACGCAGATCTCTAGAAAAGTCAAGTCCCACATCCATGTGATAATTTTTTTAAAAACTGTGCTAAATTTAATGGTAATTCTTTAGGGTCCTATACACATAGGTGTGGGAGGGTCTCATAGGATCATTACTCTAATTGTAAATGTAGATATTTTTATTTAAAGATTATATACAATATACAATAAGCTCATTTGAAAGCTTGAGTGTATTACAAAGTTCAAAAAAAAAATTTTGAATTTTGAGCTTGGTCAATGAAATAAATGCAGCCGCCCAATTTCACATCTGTTATGGTCATGTTATGCTCAAGATTTAATTGTGACCTCCTTATAATAAAAGTGAATGGTCTTAATGTCAATTTATTTTTATTATAGATATATCTATTTTTCCATAAAACCATTTATAAAAGATATTTGGCCACATGGGAGTTATATCTTTTGGAAATGATGGACCCAATGTGTCCCAAACATGTTTCAGGCCTCATATTCCATAAATCTCAATCCTAGATTACGATTCTAAGAATCCAAACAGGGGTTGAGGTGTTTGACCGCATGTCCAAATCAACAATTTTGACCTCGAGGATTGACATTTGTTGGTGTAAAAATTAGAACCATGTAATTTGGCTTACCCTGTTTTGTTGTTCTTCTCTATCAAGAGATCGTTGAGGAGCTTCACATCTTCAAATTCTCCATTGAGAGTGGAACCCAAGATGGCAGCCACACAAATTGTGTTCTCATCCACCATCTCCACAGCCTTTCTTGGGTCCATCACATAGTATCCCTCTCTAAGATTTACTTCCTTCAATTCCACCTCAAAATACCTAGCAAATTTCTCCCAACATACCTATAAAACACCAATGAGAGAGAGAGGTGTGAACTTATGATTTATAGAATATAATTCTCTTTTAAATATATATGGGAAAATATCTTATCTGTATTTTTCGTATTTGAATTGTAATATTTTTTCTACAAATCCTAATCAATTGAAATTTGAAGTGTCCACTCTTCTCATCAAGAAGCACCTAATAAAAGTGTTAAATAATTATTCATAAAAATTAAATTGATTAAAATACTCCTATAAATTTTAGAAGTATTTTGATCAATTTGTTTATTACAAATATTTTTTTAATATTTTTATTCAGTTGGCCTATTTTTCAAGAGTAGACATTCAAATTTTCAAGTGAATTATATTTGCAAAAAAATATATTAAGGCGGTAAAGAGGGGTTTTGTGAATTAGAGATTACTAGAATATCGTACTTACCCTAAAACAATACATTTACACAAACAAGAGAGAGAGAAAGAGAGGTATTTACCTGAACATTGGCACCAGTTACAATGTTGGGTTTATCATAGGGTTTGCCTTGTGCCTCTCTTTTATTTTGCCACTTCCTCTTGAATGCCAACCCAGCCAACATTATGGCCTCAGAAGACCCAACTGTTCCAACGCCAACTGCTGTTTCTTCTTTTCCAATTGGAGCATTAAAGAGACGGGCTATCATATTCACACATCGGTTCTAATGAAACAAGTATCAATATGATGAAAAACATAAGCTAGCAAAAAAGTTGCATATCTTTCTTTCTTCTTTAAGTTGTTTCATAGGTCTAAGAAAAAAAACACAAAAAGGACCTAGAAACTGGACTTAGTTCAATTAGTGGTTTGTCCGGTCATTAGGCCAGTCGAACAGGACCAATCACCAAACTGGAAAGGTAGCCTATCGACTTCAATTGGCAGTTTGATAGGTTATCAATCCAGTTGAACTACTACCTATCAAAACCATAAAATATATGAATTTCATAAATTATATCAAAAACTCTTTTTCTCATGATCGAGTTTTTTTATTGAACTGAATTGGTTTGGGGTCTGGTCGTATAAATCAACTGATGATCAAATGGAGGAGTTACTTGTAGCTCAGTAGTGATGGGGTACTCGTCCATATCGGCATAGTTTTTGTTGAGGGAATCCATGATGAGTGTGTGGCATTCAGGCTCCATCCATGTGTTCACAAAGGATGCTAAGTTCAGTCTGGGGTTCCCGTCCAACAAGAGCTCATCCCTGATCACCTCATATGCTACTTCCTTTGGAGTTGGTCTCTCAGGCATCCTAAACCTTCAAATGATCACCAAAACCATGTTATTCATCAAACGAATATATTTCTATTAGCATTTCACTAGTCCATATAAATTCTTTCAAAAGGACAAAATGGGGAATGACTACAAAAGTGATGCCCTATGCTGCACAGATACATATGAGAGTGTTTGTGCTTTAAATGACATGGATATGAGTGTCAAAAATAGTAATTTCAAAATTGGTATTCTAGACAATTATATGTTTGTACTCTATTTGAAAAAAAAGAAATGGGAGATTTTGGATGATACTAAATATTGTTATAGCAAAATTTCAAAAAGAAATGCTAAGAAGAAATGTCTATGTTTTTAAAGTATTATATACAAGTATCAAGTTCTTGACATGTCAACATACACAGAAAACTATAAACATGCTATCCATGTTAAGTAGGTGAAGTTATGTGGCTTTAAATGAACTAATGCATCTCGAACCTTTTCCATTCATGGAGGGTCCAATCACAAAACAGTTGCCCCAGAGATCCTATGCAAAATAATAGCGCAGATTGATAAATAGAAACATCAAACTGCCTCATACATGGGCTAGATTAATAAATAGGGCAGTTTGATGATGCTACTATTGAAGCGCTCTAGATATGGGGTAATTCGATTTCTAAGCAATCATACAACCTTACAAGTCACAAAAATAGAAAGAAAACTTTTTTTTTAAAAAAAGTAGTTCAATATTGCTAGGGAAAAGTTTACATAAGGTTGCAACCTTAAAATATAGAATTACAGATGCACCTTAAAAATATATCAGAAATGTTGTTTTAATGTTGAAAAAGCTCTCTAATTAATCATCTCAACATCGAGATCTACGAATATGAAAAAAAAAAGTTTTTGAATCCCAGAAATAGTGCATCTTGTAACACATTATCTAAACCGTCTATTTTCAAGATTTTCATATATTTATAGATCTACTTGATTTTAACCATTTTTGAAATTTAAAATTTCCTAATTAGGTATGAAAATAGATTTTAAGATAATACTAAGAAGTTTTACAACAAAATTACATGTTGTGA